TATTGAGGTGTGTAGTTGGGTTTTTATTTCTGTCAGCTTTCCGAGTCACCCTAAGCAAGCTGGGCGGCCATATCAATTTTCTTAGCAAATAATAAAATAACGTCTGCTTTTTCCCTCCACTGGAAAGGGTTGAGATTGGCCAACCTTTTCAGAATGCTTCTCCACATTTGATTTTAAAAAGAGAATTAGTTCTGTGATGGGCTCAGAAAGGGACTTTTTTTGCCTGATTTTCCTCACATTCCACACAACGTTGCAGCTGACTGAAACTGACTTACCGGAACGAATCCAGTGTCAGGAAAAAAAAAAAAAAAGCAGCCATAACAGAAAAACCCTAATGGGAAAAAAATTGAGCCCCCATCTTTGGCGTGCAGCCAGTCAAAGGGATCTTACTTTCATATTCTTCCCCGTCGCGAAGGGTCCTCCTTTCAAGACTGCTTAACGCCACTTACTCGGAGGACCACGAAAACATCCTTTATTATTATTTTTTTCTATTATTATTATTTTAAGGAGAGTGGAAGGACAGGCTGAAAGGAGGCAAGGAAGACAAAAGGGGGAATTTGGCATACGAGAAAACCATTCAGAAATGCTTTAGAGCACCGGGAACTAAAAGGGGTTTTTTTTTCCTCTTTGACTCTCACTGACAGCTTTAATATGGAGATGGAGTGATTTCTGGCTGTTTTTTTTTTAAAGCCATTTGGTGTCCTTCATCTTCCAGTCTAACTTTTCAATAAAGCAGCTGCTAAAAGCACTGCATTTGCTGTTGATTTGCTATCAGGTCAGTGTAAACTTTTTATATTAAACTATATGGCTCTCAATGACCTGAGAAAAATAACATAAATCCATCAAGGCATTGCAATCAGATCCCTTCTTATTTTTTTTTTTTTTCATCGTGGCCGGGCTGCCAGGACTCTCCAGATGCTTTGGACTACAGGGCCCACTGGCTGGGCAGGATGGGCCTAATGCAGATGTAGCTACCTTCAATTGAGAAGCACAATGGAGCCCTCCCAAGGTCACCCAGCTGGCTTTCATGCCTAAGGCGGGACTAAAACTCATTGTCACCTAGTGATTGGCCCAAAGTCATGAGTCCGCTTTCATTCCTAAGGCGGGACCAGAACTCATTGTTGCCTAGTGATTGGCCCACAGTCCGTTTTCATGCCTAAGGCGGGACTAGGACTCATTGTTGCCTAGTGATTGGCCCACAGTCACCAGTCCGCTTTCATGCCTAAGGCGGGACTAGGACTCATTGTCGCCTAGTGATTGGCTCAAAGTCACCAGTCCGCTTTCATTCCTAAGGCGGGACCAGAACTCATTGTTGCCTAGTGATTGGCCCACAGTCCGCTTTCATGCCTAAGGCGGGACTAGGACTCATTGTCGCCTAGTGATTGGCTCAAAGTCACCAGTCCGCTTTCATGCCTAAGGTGGGACTAGAACTCACTGTCGCCTGGTTTCTAGGCTAGCACCTTCCCCTCTAGAGCACAGTGCCTCTCTTATTAACTTATTATGGGACTACATTCCTGCTTACTGAAAGTAACTGAGGTCTGTATAATTGTACTTGCTGTACATGGCCCCTATTATATTTACACCTTTGATAAAACGAGACAGCCATTTTCAGTTTGTTAAAATCTCATGGCTGCTTGCTAGTTCAATTGCCTGCATTTTCTATTTTGTTGGTTTAAATGCTGTTTTGAAAAGCTGTTTTGTAAACCACCACTCCCAAGAGGCAAGAGGCCATTACGTGATTCCATTGCTCGGAATGGCGGGGGGCTTTTTTCTGTTTGCCAAAAAAGGAAATAAATGCCAGTTTCCAGCAAAAGACATTATAAATTGCAGTCACATGATCGCAGGACGCTGCAAATGGCCGTAAATGTGTGTGTATGGGGCGCTTCAAATCATGTGACTGAGGAGGGGGGATTTCAAATCCATGTAGTAAGATGCCTTGTCCCAATAGCTTATTTCCCTCCCTCTAGGGCAAGGGTAGGCAACCTTGGCTCTTTTATGACTTGTGGACTTCAACTCCCAGAACTCCTGAGCCAGCATGGCTTAGCTTGGAAACCTCTCCCTTTCCCCTCAGCGTGGCTGGCTCAGGAATTCTGGGAGTTGAAGTCCATGAGTCATAAAAGGGCCAAGGTTGCCTACCCCTGCTCTAGGGCAACGGACACAAAGACCGGAGTATTTGATTGGGTGGAAATCACAAAAATGAAAGAGAACAATGTTACATCACACCCAAAGACGAAACAGATTCCTAATGACTGGACAATGACATCCACCCAATGGATGACACACAAGCTCGTGTGCTTGCCTCCCCCCCCCCAAATATCTGCCCCACAATGTAAATTCTTGACAACCTCAGCGACGTGCAAACGCTCCTCACATCAATCAAAAAATAACCAAGAAGCCCTCCCAAACAACCAAAAGATCTAGCAGCCCCAGAAGGGGGGTGGGTGGGAAGCAGGAGTCAGCTACAACAGACAGGGCAAGAAATATAATCAACACTCTGTAGGATGAACAGGCAGAAGACTAGCAGAGCGCGTCCATGAACGTCAAGGAGCAGTCAGAAGACACAGCGCAAGCACATTAATGGACAGACCTTGCCATGGGTTTCACTGGGAAACAAGTCTAGGGCCGCCTGGGCGATCTGCTGCAGCGGGCCGTGGACGCTATGGGTCAGTGGTTCTCAACCTGTGGGTTGGGACCCCATTTGGGGTCGAACGACCATTTCCAACGCAGTCCGCCATTTTTTCCCCCTTTTCCTTAGCTGTGCTACTCCCTTTTATTCTATTGGCTTTTGAAAGCCAATAGAATAGACTTTCTTGAATAGAGTCTAATTCTATTGGCTTTCAATAGCCAATAGGAATTGTCCAGGCTGTCTCTGCCCTGCTGAGCCCGCCAAAAGTCCCATTCTGCAAACAGTGCTGCACCAGTTGAGTAGTCCTCGACTTACGACTGGTTGAGTAGTCCTCGACTTACGACCGGCTGGGGGTCGCGGCATTAAAAAGGTTGAGAACCACTGAACTAGAACAACAATCAAGCAGTAAACAACACCCCAATCAAGGAACTACTAGCTCAGACAAACAATCCAATAGTAAACAACAGCCTAATCAAGGAGCCGACAAGAAAGCTTGCCGCAACGTTGACAGGGCAACCAGTAGTATATAAACGACGACTAAATTCGACTCCCTCCTGGCACTGATGATATGACATAGTTGGGTCATGAAAGGTCTGCAAGAAAACAACCTAGCTCAGACAGCACCAAGGACCTCACAATCCTCCTCCTCCTCCTCCTCCTCCTCCTCTCCACAAACCCCCCTTCCGTACTAGCACTGATGATGTTACCTAGTTGGGTCATGAAACGTCTGCAAGAAAATAACCTAGCTCAGAGAGCACGAAGGAGCCCACTCTGAGCTGCAAATATTCTTCTTCTTTTTTTTAACAATAAAAAGTGCTGCGTTTAGCATATGTGCTTGGTCTCCCTCGTCTGCCTTTTCGCCTTATTCTTCCATGTAAATATGTTCTTCCGACATCGACAATTAACCCACGGATGGAAAGGTGAAACCAGAAACTAGGGTGACAAGACTTGAGTTATGCAGGGGAGGGGAAAAAAAAAAGAACACCTTGTAATCACAACGGCTTAATTCAGATGCTGGATCTCTTCCCGAGCCACCTGTACGAACAGCCTGCGCTGAGCCCTCCGAACCGGAGTTTTCCCGCACTCCATCTGCTCGCCCAGCTGGAGGCTTGGTGTTGAACCAAGCCCCCATTTGCATATCTGCAAAATTGGGCTGGGAAGTTCATTATGCAGGTAGTTTTGAGCGAGGCTCAACTTCGAAAAACTCTTGGTAGAGGAGGTGCTTTTACATATAAAGGGAATTTTTCTCCCCCCCTCCTTCCCAAGCATAAGGTTTGGTTTACAACAGTGGTTCTCAACCTTTTTAATGCCGCGACCCCCCCCCCCAACCGTCGTAAGTCGAGGACTACTCAGCCGGTTGTAAGTTGAGGACTACTCAACTGGTGCAGCACCGTTTGCAGAATGGGACTTTTGGCGGGCTCAGCAGGGCAGAGACAGCCTGGACAATTCCTATTGGCTTTTGAAAGCCAATAGAATTAGACTCTATTCAAGAGAGTCTATTCTATTGTCTTTCAAAAGCCAATAGAATAAAAGGGAGGAGCACAGCTAAGGAAAAGGGGGGGGGGGAAATGGCGGAGTGCATTGTTTGGTGACCCCCGTGAAATGGTCGTTCGACCCCAAATGGGGTCCCGACCCACAAGTTGAGAACCAGCGGTTTACAATAACAAAATCCAGATGTAGAAATAGTTGTACCTGGAGATACAGTTATATTTAGCGATGCGTTTATGTCTTGTTGGAAACTTAGTTCTCAACGAGATGGGGGTGAGGGGAGACAGGTACATCATTTAAATCAGAGGTCTCCAACTTTTTGGGTACCAGGGACCGGTTCCGTGGAGAGAGGTTTTTCCACGGACCAGAGAGTGCGTGGTTTTGTGTGCTGCCTGCATCCCAATGATGGGGCTTTGCTTGTTTGTGTGGACCGGTTGCTGGCATGCCGTGGCCTGCTACTGGCCCAGGGACCGGGGGTTGGGGACCCGATTTAAATCACGGCTGTCCAACCTTGGCCAAGTTTAAGACTTGTGGACTACAACTTGCAGCATTCTGGCGTCACGGGATCACCATTTGCGACCTTCCCAGCCAGCTTCTAACCAACAGTCAGTGGGGAAACCCCATGATTCGGTTAGCAACCATGTAATTCACTTAATGACCGTGGTAAAAAGGTTGCAAAACCGGGGGCAATCACACGTCTCGCTTTAACCACCACGCCACTTAACCAGGGCATAAGTCGAGGACTACTATGGTGATCCCCTATGGCAGTTCGACCCCAGTGTGACAAGGGCGTCGGTGTCGTTTTCTTGCTGCTGCTCCCTTGGAGAGGATAACGCTCTAAGGATCGGCAGAAGGCTTCCTGGAAACACGGTTGCGTACTACATACCCGGTCAAAAGGGATGCTGTATTTTTTCAAGATGGAAGGTGAAATGAGGGTCATCTTGTGCCGCAGGAAGGCATCACACCCTTGAGAACTCCCAGGGAAAAATCCTACAAAAGGGGGGGGGGGGAAGAGAAAAAAAAAACAATTCAGCATTGCCCTGTCTCAAGAAACACCTGAAATCTCCTTGACCAACAAAAATAAAGTGGCACATAATCTCAAGGTTACTGGGTGTGCAAGGAACACATTTTCTAACGTGCACAAGTTGTGAAAGGTGCATCACAAAGAGGTTTCTTCATTCAGACAAGGTCTTGCACACTTCAAAACCAGAGAGCATTTCAACTCCCTAAAGACAATTCAGAGGCCAAATTAGATATAATTTCTAATTTTTAATATATATATACTTTTTAAATATTTTAACGTTTTACTGTGGACTGCCCAGAATCCCTCTTTGAGGCAGATGGGTGGTTCAGAAATGTAACACACACACACACTCTCACACACATCTTAAGGACGAAGTCAGCAGAGTCCATGGGAGCGCAAGGGATCTGGATATCTCTGCTTGGGGTATTCCCAAGGATAGGAACCCATGTTGGAAACAGTCTAGTCCGCCCTTGGCCTCATCTACAGAAACAGCCCTTGATAGATGAACAAAGAACTTCTCACAAAGTATAAAGAGTTGGAAATTGGGGGAATCATAACCTTCTTCTCTTCTTTGTCAGGAAGATTAAGTTATCAAAGAAGAGGCGACAATTTTTTTTTTAAAAAAATACTAGTTGGCTTCCTATATTCCTATAGATTTTCTTAATGTTCACAACCAAGCAGAGATTAAGCATTTTATCAAGTGTGTACGTCTGTGTCTGTGAGTAAGTGAGCAAGTGAGAGAGAGAGATATGAAAAGAGGAGAGGGAGAGAGAGAGAGAGAGAGAGAGAGAGAGAGAGAGAGAGAGAGAGAGAGAAAGGAGAGAGAGGGAAAAAAGAGAGGGGGAGAGACATAGAGAAGGAAGGGGGAGAGAAGGCGAGAGGGAGAAAGGGAGAGGAAGAGGGAGGGAGGGGAGAGAAACAGAGAGATGGAGAGGGGGAGAGTGAGAGGAGAAGGGAGCAGGAGAGAGTGAGAGAGAAAGGGAGAGGAAGAGAGGAAGGAAGGGGGAAGGGGAGATGGAGAGAGAGAGAGAGAGCGAGCAGGGGAGGTGGAGAGAGGAGAGAGGGAGAAAGGGAGAGGAAGAGAGGGAGGGGGAGAGAGACAGAGAGGGGGAGAAGGGAGGAAGAGAGAGAGTGAGAAAGGGAGAGGAAGAGAGGGAGGGAGAGGGAAAGAGGGAAAGGAGAGAGGGGAGAAGGAAGCAGGAGAGTGAGAAAGGGAGAGGAGATGGTGAGAGAGAGAGAGAGAGAGACAGACAGACAGACAGAGACAGAGAGGGAGAAAGGGGGAGAGGAGAGAGGGAGAGGAAGAGAGGGGGAGAGAGAGAAGGGGAGGGGGAGAGAGGAAGAGAGAGAGGAGAAAGGAGCAGGAGAGAGAGCAAGAGAGAAAGGGGGAGGAAGAGAGGGAGAGAGAACGAAGATCACACATACACTTGCAAACAAAGGCTGGGCTTTACACTTATAGCCTTCAGCATCCAGGAGTAATAAAAAAAAAAAGCACTTCTCTAAGCAACTGAAAACTCTGCTCTTGCCTGTGGCCAGTTCTAGCAAGTCACAAGCAGAGAGAATGTATTTCTCCCTCCTCCCCACAACACGTCCCTTCCCACGGATGCCAGCAAAGGGAAAGCTTCAACTGGCTCATCAGCCATCAAAAATACTTCTTTTCCTTTAGAAAACAATACAGGCAGTCCTCGAATTGCAACCGTTGGTTTAGTGACCATTCGAACGCCAGCACTAGGAAAAAAGGGACTTATGACCGTTTTTCACACTTATTGTCAACGCTGCTAACATCGGGATGTTTTGCCATTGACAACAGAGGGAAATGTAACCATCTTTTACCTTTTACTTTTAGAGTTAGATGATACTGGGAAGGGGGGGGGAATGTGACCGAGAGTCCAGCTAGACATAACAACACTAAACCTAGCGTGAGAAACAAGGTTATTGTAACCAGAGCTGATAAGGAACTGGCAGGCTGGAGAACTGGAGAGGAAGCTCGTGCTTCAAGCTAATTGGGAATGTGATTTATGACTGTTAATTGGAGGAGGGAATTGTGCTTTGATACTAGGTGCTCAGGAGAAGGGAATTCAGTTCTTGGCTTGACTGTGTAAGTGCCAAAGAGCGTATAGTCAAGGCCATGGTTTTCCCAGTTGCAATGTATGGCTGTGAAAGTTGGACCATAAGAAAGGCTGAGTGCCAAAGAATGGAGGCCTTTGAACTCTGGTGCTGGAGAAGACTCCTGCGAGTCCCCTGGACTGCAAGGCGGTCAAACCGGTCAGTCCTAGAGGAGATCAACCCTGACTGCTCTTTAGAAGGCCAGATCCTGAAGCTGAAACTCAAATACTTTGGCCACCTAATGAGAAGGAAGGACTCACTGGAGAAGAGCCTAATGCTGGGAAAGATGGAGGGCAAGAGAAGAAGGGGACGACAGAGAATGAGGTGGCTGGAGGGAGTCACTGAAGCAGTAGGCGTGAGCTTCAATGGACTCCAGAAGATGGTAGAGGACAGGAAGGCCTGGAGGAATGTTGTCCATGGGGTCGCGATGGGTCAGACACAGCTTTGCAACTAACAACAACAAAGGTAAGTGCTGATATTATGCTATTCGAATAAAAGATTCTGTAAGGTAAACAATGCCTCGAAGTTCTTTTGAAAAGTTTCATCTGTCGGAACCATGACACTTACGACCGTTGCAGCGTCGCTACAGTCACGTGATCAAAATTCAGACGCTTGGCAACTGACTCGTATTTAGGACGGCTGCAGCATCCCGGGGTCCTGTGATCCCCTTTTGCGACTTTCTGACAAGCAAAGTCAGTGGGGGGGAAGCCGGACTCACTTAACAACCGTGTTACTAACATAACTATTGTGGTTCACTTAACGACCGTGGGGCAAATGGGGCAGAATTCACTTACGAACTGTTTGGCTTAGCCATAGAAGCTCTGGGCTCAGTCGTGGGCCTAAGGTGAGGACGACCCGTGCACAATTTCTGCCACACAGAAATGCCGTCCCCACACTTGGCAGCTCTTTGAAGTTACATTATGTACCTTTACATTTAATCTTTAAATTTAGCTCAACAGCAGGGAAACCTGTACTATGCTGCAGATAAAAAGGGGCGTGTGGAAGTCTGCCTAGGTTTCTGATTTTTAGGTTTATGTGCCGTAGAGCGGCTATGGACCAAGACGAAATGCCCAGTAGAAACATTTTAATAAGCTCCTCTAATGAAATAAAGGGCTTAATAAAAGCCAGTGCGAGCTTATGTTGAAATGTGTAAAAGTCACTTTGTTCGTCTCGCAAGGTACAGGGTTGAAACCTGGACTCTTCTTGCGTGTGTATATATATATATATATATATATATATATATATATATATATATATATATATATATATATATATTATATATATATAATATATATATATATATATATATTCCTTGCTCAATCAAGCAAACGCCTTTTGCCAACGTTTGGATTATTACGGTAGCCGTGTGCCATGCAAATGAATTTACAAGGAGCCGAACAAGTTAGTGTCACTGCAGCGCTTGTGTTATTTGTTCACTATCCAACTGCATTTGTCCAGGTCTGTGGAAATGAAATGCTTTTAACACTGATAAAGCAGGCAAGCGGCTAAACACCCGCTTTGGTTCTCCCTGCTAAACGCAGAAAAGGATTTTTTAGCTATTGTGCAGGACACAACAAATTCACTTTGAATCGCGCAGCCCTTAAGAGTTGGGAAACTGGTTATTAAACGGAGGACCTCTCCCTTGCCCCAGCCCTTGAGCCGCTCGATAAGGGGAAACAATCAAAGGTCACCACGATGTAAAAAAGATGTAAAAAAGACTCTAGAAAGAATACAGAGAAGAGCAACAAAGATGATCGGGGGACTGGGAGGTGAAAACGTATGAGGAACGGTTGCTGGAATTGGGCATGTCTAGTTTAATGAAGAGAAGGACCAGGGAGGACAGGATAGCCATGTTCCAGTATCTCAGGGGCTGCCCCAAAGAGGGAGTCAAGCTATTCTCCAAAGCGCCTGAAGGCAGGAGAAGAAGCAACAGATGGAAACTCATCAAGGAGAGAAGCAACCTAGAACTAAGGAGAAACTTCCTGACAGTGAGAACAATTAACCAGTGGAACAACCTGCCTCCAGAAGCGGTGAATGCTCCAACAGTGGAAGAAAAGAGAAGGGAAGGGAAGGGAAGGGGAGGGGAGGTTAAGGGAGAGGAGGGTAGGAGAGAAGACTGGACAGCCGTTTGTCTGAAATGGTATAGAGTTTCCTCCCTGCACAGGGGGTTGGACTAGATGACCTCTAAGGTCCCTTCCAACTTTATTATTGTTGTTGTTGTTAATCATCACCAGATATTCAGACTGGATTTGGCATTTTTTTCTACCTATCAAGTCCTTACCAAGGACCTGGGAGAGGCAGATGTGGATGCTTGAATTGATGGTATTACAGATCTCGTCGCAGGATGGAAGCAGTTCCTAGTAAGGCCGCCTTTTGCAATTAATGGCAAATTTGTCAATGCCAATGGTATTCAAGTGGTGCTCCAGTTGTTTTGGGATTGCACCCAAGGCGCCTATGACTATTGGTACTACCCTTGCTTGCCTTTGCCACAGTCGTTCTATTTCTATTTTTAAGTCTTTGTGTTTTGTGATCTTCTCCAGTTCTTTCTCGTCTATTCTGCTGTCTCCAGGCACTGCCACGTCCATGATGATGATGATGATGATGATGATATTGCATCTGGGTGGCCAACAAGGGTTAAAAACATCAGAAAGAGATGCTTTGGGCTTTATTTTTTTTTTAAAGTACCGTCTTCAGAGCCCAGAGCTCATAAACATCTTTCTGCCTTTCTATAAAACCTCTTAGTCTGAAAAAGTGTTAGTCCTGGTTTTTTAATCTGGTGTGTCAATCTTATCATCCCATATGCTGCATTCAGCCGGACTCACAATCTGCTGATGTCTGCCTCTTCTAATCAGATGCTTCC